GAGGCTGCAGCCTCTGCCGAGGGCGATAGGGATGCGCGTTGCTCCGCGCCCTGCCCGCGCATCCCCGGCCGGGCTTCTCCTCCCCTCACCCCCCGGTTTAATCTTCCTTGGGGATGCGCTCCGCGAGTCACCCTCGCTCGCCTGGAGGGCAGGGAGGCCTTGGCACCCCGAGCGGCGTTAGGGCCGGTCCCTCTCCTCCCCCAGGCTGGCTGAGAGCCGCGGGGGCAGCGCGGCCTTCTTTCCCCCCCCCGCGGCGGTGCTCCCCCGCTCCGCTGCCGCGGTGACCGGCGGAGAGCGTGGCACCGAGCACCGGGCTCCCTGTGCCCCAGGACTGAGTGACTTCGTGCCACCGGTCCTCCGTGTCACCTTAAACCGCTTCGCTTTAATGATGTTTGCGGGTAATACTTTCAAAAGACCAAAGCGTGTGTGCGTGGTTTAAAGTCACATTTGTGAGTCGAAGGATGTCACACAACAGACACAACAGTTAGAAGGAGCTGACGAACAACAGGAAACGGGGTTCTATTTTTAGGGTATAATAGGAAGTTAATATAAGCGGCCAGAGGCTTCCTATATGCCTCCGAGCACCTTCTGTTCCATTCATTCATTCATTCATTCATGCGTTCGACAATAACAACAGGGGAAAACAAACATTCCCGTTTCATTTCTCATCCCCTCCTTCCCGGGAAGTCCTGCTCTGGTGTTTGCACGGGTGGGCTCTGCAAGCGGAGTCCCTCTTTCGGGTTGCTTTGCTGGTTTGTTGGCTCGTTGGGGGTGTGTGTGCGCGTGATAGCTGATGGCGTTCACCAGGCGAGGTTCCCCCAGGATGCTCTCGTTGGGGGGTTCCTGCCCGCAGGAGTGCTCAGGAGCTAAGGGATGCTCTCTGGGAGTATACATCCCTCCTCCCCAATTCACACCAGAGTCTGGGAGAGTGTTTTCTGTCCCACCTCGACCAGGGTGGCTGGAAAAGTCCGAGAGAAGCTTGTTTCAGGAATGATGTTAGTGCGTGTGGGTTTGGGTTTTTTTTCCGCGTGAAGCCCGTGTCCACGCACGAAGCGGATCTTGCCATAGGATTTTTTTTAAAGGGGCAGAGAAATGCTGGGGAAGGGAGGGAGAGGCAAAGGTTAGTGCGCGATGCCCTGTTTTTGGGTTTGCTTTTTTTTTTTTTTAGCAACAGAAAGAAATGCACAAAGCAATCGAAAGGCGCTCGGGAGAGAGTGGGGGTCTCCCACAGAGTGGTGGTGGGAAAATCTCGAGAGAAGTGGAAAGCCGGAGAATATTCCCGCTGGCGGCGATCCGCTCCAGACGCATTTTTGCGGAGAGTCTCCCCTCCGCAGAGCCACGGGGCTCTCCCAGGCTGGAGGGCGTCTTCTGCGGCCGCCAAACTTGCCCCCCCCGCCCCGCGCGGCCGTGGCGCTCCGCGGGTGTCCGCGGTCGCAGGACGCGGGGGGTGCCAGGCTTCTGCACGGCACGGCTCGGTAGCCGCCGTCCTGCCCTGGCAGCGCGGTTCTGCCCGCGTTATTTACAGCTCCCGGAGAGGCTACGACAAAATATCTCGCCTTGCACCCGTCGATGGCATTTTTTCCTCCGGTCTCTCCCGCCTGTTTACCCCAAAACACACGGCCTTCTTTCTTTCTGCCAGCATGTCATATCGCCATCGTCTTAACAGCAGCTGAGCGGTGGGCAAAAGCTCCCGCAAAAGGAGGTCACCTCCTCAAACTGGAAGCGAGCTATTTTAAGGAGAGACTGGGGAATTTGAGCGCTGCCGCCAGTGCCGAGAGCAAGAGCGGAGCGGAGGCTCCTCTGGATTTCAACCCACTAACATTATAACAGACAGGCAGGCGTCAATGGCTTTCCATACCGCGAGTGTGAAGGAAGTGGCAGGAAGGCGGGGGGGGATGGGGGG